GAAACAGCATTGAAGAATTATTTCTTTTAACGTTAACATATGAAAAACATATGTATTAATATTTCCTTGTCCATGTTAGAAGCATTTGGCCTGAAATACTGTTCTATTATCTGATATGGTTTGCATCAAAGGATGCAAGAAAATGCTCTAAATGTTTGAATAGTTCTTGAAGGGATGCATCCAGTCTGCAGTGATGAAACACTTGAGCACCTCTGCTATTAATTTTCTAATCAGTCTTACTCAAGATGTACAACTATCCTCTGAGAAAGTCAGTGAGACAGCATAAGTTTAAGTTCCAGCAACATTGTGCCATGTATGTCAACATTTCAACAACTATGATGGTGTGGGTCAATGAGTCGCAGTGCAGAATGGTTTTATTGAGGTAACTGTATTCAAATATGATGATGATTAGAATAGTTGGCATATGAGAAAGCTTTCAGGAATCAGAAGCCACAGTGCCATATCTTTGCTTGAACTTGCGTAGTTGGAACTGGTCAATTTTACTCACATTTTAGACACTCATCCTGCAATGCAGTCTACAGTCTCTGATTAATTGACTCCATCTCATCTTGACACAGAGTGACTTGGACTTAACCTTGCTTAACTTAGTTATGTGTCAAGCTGGGTAGACCAAGTTAGACTGGGAGGACACCTGGAGGTCACCTAGCCCAATTCCTTGCTCTAAGCATGGCCAACTTTGTAGCTAGATTAAATTGATCTAGTTTTGAGGGAGAAGAGGAAAGGGAAAAAAACTTGATGAGAACTGTCTTCATTTCGTGCTCTAAACACAAAATCACAAAATGAAAGGTGAGTGCATTACTGCTTCCTACCTGAAACTGCTGGGGCTTCTGTGATCTGTGTTGACTCATATGTATGAAAGGTATACCTGGAGCATACCCACTAAACCTGGTATTTCAGGGTTACCGAGATTGTGAGTGTACAATTGGATAAAGTCTGAGAGGTACTGAAAGATTCATAGTGGCCAATAAGAAGGTGATTTTGGCTCTGCACTGAAGCAGAAATTTAAAAGCCAATAGAACCTCACCACTGAAAAGATAAGCGTGGTGGCCTAAGTACAGTCAGCTATGTAGCTATATAGTTATGAGTCTGGGTCCTACTGATTTGCAGGCATCTATGTGACTGAGCAATTGCTTTGAGAATCAGCCTGCTAAACTCTGATGTTGTCCTCCTTTATGAGTGCAGTGCCTCTTACTGGTCAGGACTTCAGTTTCTATGTTACATCTCAGGTCCTCACGCTTTTGGGAAATGAGGATGATAGTGTTACTCCGTCAGACAGGTATATTGTAGGGTTAAAACTAATGGTAAAACTCTCATTTTAATCCCAAAGGGACTGGGAATGGGACAGAGGTAGCAAAGCAGAGGGGAAAATGTATATTTAAAATATTTTAAAGCATGAAAATGCAGTAGCATGCATACATGCTTCCTTCTGGGAAGAAGAAACCGTGTTTGCTAAATCTGATGAATGCTGGCCATATCATTTAGTGCACTGCTGAAGCCCCTAAGACACCACAATTAGCTGAAAAATTAAGAACAGCATAAACAATAATCTGAATTTCTAGCAGGTTAAGACTCCAAGTAAAATTACTTTATTGTAGCCTGTAAATTAATGTCATGTAAAGGGAGAAAACCCTTTATCATTAACAGTGATCACCTTGTCCACAATTGTTTTCAGAGTAAAAATCCCACACATCTAACTGTTCATTCACATATAACTCACTAATCACTATGGTAGAGGTGCGATTATATCTGGAATTAATCTTTAAGATTCAGCTACAATATTCTAATATTTTTATTCAAGTTTGGTTCTTATCCAGGAAACAGATAAGATTAAAACCTGCATATAATCCAGTGTTTCATTTATTTTTTGGGAAAAAAAAAAAAACAAAAACAGTTTTACTTTCTGTTTGTTTATAAGCACAACCAGGAAATCTAGCCTTAACTTGGTAATCCTTATTTTATGGGTGAAAGTAGAAAATAATCTTAGTGCAAAAAGCAGATGTGGTCTTTTTCTTTCTTTCTTTGAATCTTTATGCTCTTTGACTTCCCTTTCCCTTTGGCACAAATTTGCTTAACCCTTTTTTCAAGGGCAATTATAGTAATGAAGATGTGCAACACTTATTGCTGAATTGGAACAGCTGAGTGGGAAGGGGGAAGTCAGAATGAATTAAAATGATTTCACAGAGCACACACAAAGCCTTTGTATCCTAAAGAATGACTGAGTAAATAGAGGTTATTTAATTGTTGAATAAAAAAGTAACACTAAACAGCCTTGAAAAATCTGTGGCTCCCTTATGTTCTCAAGTATCAAGTGTTAGGATGTACCCAGCATCAATGTATAATTTTGGGAGTTCAAAGCTCCTCTGTGTTTTGCTAGTTGGTTTGGGTTTTCAGTGTTTTACAATTCAACAGTTAAAAATTACTGTCATATTTTGTGTGTAGATGTTTTTTCCATCACAAAGATTTTACCCCCCTCACTTTCGCTTCCCATTCTTAGAGACAGTTTGTGTGAGGACAGTGGCAAAGACCTGAGTTTAAGCCCTGAGGTAATTTCCTGGATTCTGGCACTAGTCATCGCCAAAGATAAACTCTATCTCTGAAGTCTTTATGTTGCTCACTACAGTTTCCTCTGTTTACTGTGGAATTGGAGGTGCTCCTGGACAACCTCCCAAATAGCTGGAAGAAGGACTTTTTAGGTCCTAAAATAAGGAGGGGGAAGAAGGACCAAAAGACGTTACTGAGCAAGCCCCTTTTTTCTTGACCCTGAAATATAGATGTGCGTAAAACAGGAATTTGAATACAAGATAGTTTTGTTCTCAAGGAAAAAAAATCAACCGATTAACCCTATAAATATTTAGAGATTATTAGTTCTATGTTTTTTCTTTTAAGATGAGAGTATTTTATATTTGTCTATTATTTCCTAGTTTGTCACAGTTGACATTTACTGCAAACTTCAATAGCCCTAAAAGCTTCAAATTATCTATGTTAGGATCAGTAATGAGTGGTTAACATAAGTATTCAGACTCCTGGGAGAGCCTGTGTACTTTTGAAAATATTTTCTGCAAGCGTTTGACCCTAATGCTGTCATAAAATAACAGTTCTGGAAGCATCCCTGCTCTGGTAAAGAAGTTTCTTAACACAAGCATTAAGTCCTTTGAGATTTGTGTGCCCATATTTGAGATAACAGTTTTAAAATATCATATATGGCATGACTACATGACAAGAAAAAGTAATTATTATGCATTTGCACATACCACATGTACTTTATAAAACTGGTGGGAAGGAATTTTTCCAATTATCTGTCACATGCATGTGTACAGAAAAATATTTTTTCCCCTGAAAGCCACCAAAAATGAGAAAATTCCAAGACTGCTACATAAGCAAGGTGCTATGTGAAATTTATTATTCAACATTGCTTCCTGAGTGTTGATAAACATTCTATGCACCAGGTCTTCTGATACGTCTCTTAGGGAGATAATATACAGGTCTGTATTCCTCTCTGGCAACATATTGTCCCAGAATTTTGCCAAAGTCTTTTATGGGAAATGTATTGTAACATACAATCAAAATTTGCAATGGGTGAAACTATGTGATCCCACTTTTTAAATTATCACTTTCTCAGTTCATAATTATAAATATGGACTGTAATGGTACTATCAAGCATGCAAGAATTACCTGGAATTCATTCAATCTCTTTCCATCATAGAATATGTTACTCAAATGCAAAAGCAGTGCATTTTGATATACTTTTTCTTCTTGTCAGACATGAACTATCACTCATTTTCTCATTTTTCACCACATTTCCAAAGTAACATTAATGATTAAATGACATTATTTACATGGAATTAAAAAGTAAAATAAAAAAGCAACAGGATATAAATCTAATTTTAACTAACACATTACTTTTTCCCCAATATTTTTTCAGTGCTGTAATTGTCCACTAGAGAAGATTTACATAACTTCAGTGAGATACAAGAACTATGCTCTTTGTTTTTTAAAGAATATCTGTGCAAAGAAAAGCTAGACTAAAAAAAATGTGATGTGTAAATAAAGCTTTCCAAGTAGTATTGACAGCAGACTGTTTCACACCATTTCTTTAACCAGTATTTAAATACTATGGAGGAGACTTCTCTTTGATCATTTTACGTTCTTTTCATTTAATTAACATGCCTGAGATTGACATAAAGTAGGAGGTCATTCACTTGAGCAAGCATAAAGTGGTTGTAATGTTGGCTTTTAATTCAATTATATAAATATCAAAGCATAGATGGAAAAGTTAGTAAGAAACCTCCGCCAAAATTAAATGTTTCCCAAAGCTCATAATCTATGGAATATGGAACTGAACAGGGAAAAAACACATCACCATCTTTTTTTTTGTTGAAGAAACATTAAAATTCCTGTGAACTTTTAAATATTTTTAAAAGGAGCAATAGTTAGCTGTTGTTTTCTTGCAAATAATTTTGTAATTATTATTACAGTAGTCCATACTAGTATTGCTGGTTTTTTGTATATATGCCAGCATGGTTTATTCCTCCAGAATTTGCATATCTAAAAGTTTTTGAAGTTGTTTCTGACAATGGCTAGTAAATACAAAGATGTACTTTACTACTTTATCTTCATTTCAAGGATTGCAGACCATCTTTAACAATGTCAGCACTTAGATGTTCTTTCAGCTATTTTGCCCCTTCCATATAATTGTTTTAGAAATTATATTTTTTCATAACAGGACAAATGCAGGTAAATCGAAACTAAATGGTGTCCCTTACAGAGATTGTAAAGCCTGGGAAACACACGTAAGAAAACTTGCCGACATTTCCTTTTCCAACTTTATAGCAGTGTCAGTGACTTTACTGTCTCTAGCTGAATTGTCAAAATACCAAATTCCAAAGAAAGAATTCTGTAACATGAAAATATCCTGATCTTCCTCTTTTTTTCCAACATATGCAATGTAAATTAGTATAACCCTTTATATATGAACTTACCTCTGCTTCCCTGAACTTGGAGAGCAAGGCAAATGATCAAAAATATTAATCCAGTTTTCAAATGCATGCTGTCTATTGATCATTCACGGTTTTCAAGAACAATCATTCAGGAAATAAGAATATTTAGGTCAAGGGGAAGGTTGTTGTTTTTTTTTTTTTTTTTAAAAAAAAAGACTAAAATTCCCAAGCGTCTTCCCTCTTCTTTTACTTTTCAGGTGTCCCCAGCCTTGGGCTGCATTGAATTGCAACTAGGCGAAGAGTGCAACAGGTGCCAGAATGCAAGAGCTGGACAAACCCCTCCAGGGCACACACTTCTATCCTGGGGGACTGGAGTGGTAAGACAAGAGTGACGAAGTTTTTAAAAAAAAGCAGTGTCTGTTTCTGGAATAATCTGTTTATCTGCTGCTCAGACATAATCCCTCTTACGGTCCAGCTGGAAGAGCTTTCTTCATCTTATTAACCTTATGGAGCAGCATCTGTCAACCCCAGAAGACTTCAGTAGCACCATGATAAACAACGGAAGTCTCTTCTAGTGCCCATTGCCTTCAAATATTGATCCTTTGGGCATTCCAGAGGTATGGCATGTGAACGGAGACAAAATCATGGAGAGAGCTAATTGTGCTATTTCCAAACCAATGATCATAAAACCCCGGGAACCTCCTTTGAAGAAAAAGACACCTTTTTCTGAAAGGACATACTATACTCAGCTTTTCCACCGCGTATGTCTTGGAAGCCTCTCTCCCTTCTCATACCAAAATGTTGCTGTTGCGATATTCCTATCATCAGTGATGATGATGTTCTGTGACAGCAGTGAAATAGTGTGACTCAGCAGTAAATTGCAGCAGTGTTCAGGGCTGGCACAGTCTGATGCCAAGCTGGGAGTGGGGGAGGGAAGGTGCTGCATGAAGGGAGAATAAGAAACAGTGGTGGGAAATGCTGTTTCAAGCACATAGCTATAACCAGGCCAAGAATTGGCAGTGAGTGACTACCCTTTTCAAACAGCTCTGTTCTAGTTTCCCAAATAACTATTCTGCTTACATATTTGGCGTATGTAAGTGTTCCACACTTACTTTTTATTTTCCGGAATGTTTTTTAGTGTTGCATTACACCTAAAAAAGTTACCAGATGGGCATTTGTAATGATCTGTCCCCCTTAGAGATTTTTGCGTGACTGTGTTTCAACATAAGAAGTATCTAGACTGGCAGAAAGAATCTTGTTTTCTAGTACTGTAAGTACAAGTTACTTTAAGAACAACCTTCATTTGAACCCAATCAGTATTCTATTTTTGCTTAGGATTTAAACAATGGTAACCTCCCTCCCTTCCCGAGATTGCCTAATTTTAACTACTTAGACCAGCTAGTACAGAGACTAGGCTGGGACCAAACAAGATCTGGGTTTTTTTTTTAATTTTCACAGTCTTTTTTCTGATTTTCAGTGCTCATTTTAATGCTTTATGTATGTTGTTTCATGCACATTGTTTTATTGTTCTAACAAAGCAAATTAAGAAGACCTCGCCAGCAGCACAATGCAAGAGAACAGTGAAGATGATAAGGATTTCTACTGGAGAAAATTTGAGTATTATATAACGAGCATTCTTTAGCAGTACCAAAAGTTGTCTTTACATATTTTATATATCATAATCATATGGTATAGAGTGTAGTAATATAAGTACTACCTCTATGAACCAGGTAAGCTTTTGCAAGCATCTATAAGCATGTTATAATTGAAAGATGAAGTTCCCCCACTATGTTATCTTCTTTTTAGTTGCTTCAGCTCTCAATCTCTAACAACTGGAAATGTAGGGAATTTTTCTGAGGATGATGGAATACGCTGTTTCTGGTGACATCTGAAAGTGCAGGATTGGCGAAAGTCACAGATTAATTCCTCAAAGCACCCTAGACAACAAACTCCTTATGGAATTTGGTAGGAATGTGGTCCTTTAATTCCATTGGGAAACTAATTTAAGCATCAGACTTAATTTTGAAAATGTGCAATAAAGAGATTTACTTAATTACTATGCAGAGTCAGTAGTGAAGCCTGAGCCAGGAATCAGAAATCCTTTATCAAATGTTTCGTTTAAAAACTTATTTTTGAGCCCTTCACGTGTTGGAGAAGGCAAACATTTAATAAAACGTGCTCTTACATTTCAGAGATAAAGGAACAGGAACAATCCTAGAACACACCACAGTGTTGTTTAGTGTCAAGTTATGACTTAAGGAAAATATTGAACTCCATAGGTAAAACTGTGACTAAAAATGTATAGGGCAGGAGTCTGCATAGTTTGACATGATGCTTAAATAGTCAATATTCCAAGCTGTTTTCTGTTAAGGCAGTGCCTTCTATGTATTTCCATTTAATTAAGAAATTTTGTAACTAACCTTGATAACTGCCACAGTGGAAGCAAACAAGAATGATAAACACTCATTAAAGCTAAAGCAATATTATCTAGGGACCACTCCATCTCTAAGTACTGTAGTGTTTAATTATAGGTCACTGTTAATTAATCTAGAAGTACTTCTTCTAGTTGGTTTGCTGTCAACAATAATTATATATTGTTAAAGAGGCAATTAAAAAAATTCTACTGAAATTCAATAGTGCATTACAAATATAATACTGAGACATGGGAAGAGCAAAACTGTATGCTAAAATATCCATTCACCCAGGATAAATGCTTGTAAATGGGTTAAATCAGACCCTTTAACGGTCACCTCAGTGAATCACTACACATATCTAGAATAATACACTGATGTGCTGTTTAAATACGACTGAAACTGTTTGCTTGCAGAAAAATGACAGTTTAGACTATCAAGGACTCTGTTTAGAAGACTTGAGGTAAATTGTTTGTAAGTCTGGGGCTCAAGGCACTGTCACATAAAGATGATCTAAAAGTTGCTATGCATACTGCTGAATTTTAGGTACTCAATGCAGATATGTAAATCGGGGCACCAGGCAACTCATGTTCCCCATAAAGGCAAGTCAGATTCTATACCATCAGAGTCAGAGTCTGTATGTCATATAAGTTTGACTTCCGTTTTTAGTTGTCCTGAGTAAGTTCTTCTACTAGTCTAGCCAACTGTTTTCCTTATGATTTCCATGGCATTTACCTGAGAGACCAGTCCCATCCCAAGGAAGGGGAGATCTATAATTATGATGTACCCTTTAAATAACCACAATTTTTTCTCAAATATTCATTATTTCCGTAGGAGCCAGATTGGTACCTGGCAGCTAGCATGCACCAGACACAGCTTTAGGCTTTTGATTCAAACTGAGGACACCTGAGTTCTTCTGCTCCCTTCTTTGCTGTTGAGTTTGGCCAAACCAAGCTCTACCTCTCAGCCTCCGTATCTGAAAATGGAGGGATGACCCTGAAGAGCTAGAAAAGCCTTTGTAGCAACAAAGAAGACAATACATGTAAGCAAGAACTGCTCCCCCCCCCGCCATGCATTAAAATGTAGTTAAAATATTTCAATAATTATTTTGAAATCTAGAATTAATGTTTTACTTTTACATGTTCTGGTTTGCATATGAAAGTTAGGCATCAACAGTGGTCTTGTAGTGGTTTTAAAGTTTTTCATGAAGAACACTAATTGTCTTTTTGCTCTTTGAGCTTTTCCAGTTGGGTAATATTTGTATTTTGCCCTCTACTGTTGCCCAGTCACAATGTTTTCTTTTTCTTACTGAACTAATAATACAAGATTTATATTTAGCCCATGAATTAAATCAAATTAAAAAGAAAAATAAACACATATTTCTCAGGACAGTTAAAAAATACCTATGTTTTGTTTATGGCTTTTATTTATAGTTCATAGACAATTCTTCTTTCTGGTGTCTCTTGTTAGTAGCAGGGAACAAATGCGATAACAACAGGGAAAGCCAGTTTGAAACTAAGCAAAATATTTTCTCCCTGAAAGAACTGGTCAGTGTCCAGACATTATGTTTGTAAATGTTCTCTTATTTTTCAGACCAATCGTTCTTTCAAACCTATCTCTTCTGGAAATTCTTACATTCTTCCTTCAAAACTGAACTTGGACTGTTTATCCTGGAAGAGTGCCATATAACTCAATTTGCTGATGGCCATAGACAGTGATAACATTGGGATAATGCACTACATTTCTATTGGGCTGTCACTAAAACAATAGCAATGCAGAAAATGCTGTGGAAAATAAGTTAGTTTTTAGCCTGAGTAAATGCCAGAAGTGGAGGAATAATTTGGTTTAGAATAAAGCAGTAAATTTGAATTGCGAGAAATAGCCAATAACAGATATCAGTGACCTAGGATTTGAAAAGAAACTCAGAGATTAAGGCTCTGAGTTGCTGACTGTGAAACTGAGTGTTTTAATTTGCCTCTCGACCAGATGAAAGAGTTTTCAGAAAGGTTTTGGTACAAATCTGGAGAACTGTGCTTCAGCAAGTATAACTTCTGTACTACGCAAATTGATAGAAACCATAATAAAAGAAATAAGCACAGTAACAAGAATGATCTGGCTGATACAATATTCTTGGAGAGCCAACAGTTTTTGATGAGGTCTGCTCTTAAAGAAACTAAGCTGTCATGGAGTAAAAAGAAAGATTTTCTGTATTAATAGCTTGTTGAAAGATGAGAAATAAGAGCAAGATATAAGCATTTCAAAGGCTAGGTGTTACCATTAGGTTTTATGCTGGAAGAGGGGGCAAATGATGAGGTAATAAAATTTGCTGATGCTACAGAATTGCTCAGATTCTTTAAGAATTACACTAATAGTGAAAAGACACAGAACTGTGTCTTGCTGCTGAATGTGGATAACAAAGCTGCAGGTAAAATATATCCATGGAAAAAAAAATAATGTTATCAATTATTTGCTCTAAATTAGGAATAGCCATTTGGCAAGAAGAGTTTGAAAGAATAATTTTCTGATAATGGCAGCTCAATCTATAGCCATGATCAAAAGGAGAAATAGAATGTTAGTGCTTTATTGGAAAGAAATAGAAAAGAAAAGCAAATTTTTTAATAAAATGGTATGTCATACATATTTAATGATGCTCTGGTCCTACAATAGCAATAATACATAGTAAAACTAGAAATGTTAA